AGAATTACCGGGAACACCATCTGACCAACATCATCTACTATTCTGTGAAGGAATCCACTATAAGTGAGCAAAGTGCCAGGATGACAGCCATGGACAATACCAGCAAGAATGCATCTTGACTTGATCAGCAAACTGACTTTGACTTTCAACTACACCCGCCAAGCTGTCGTCACAAAGGAGTTGATTGAAACATCTCTGGTGCTGTAGCTCTGGATTAATGAAAATCAAGTTTCATCCTCAGACAAGCAGTAAAGGAAGAAAATTCAGCCAGTTAATTATGCTTTTAGCTTACTGCTGTCCTGGTCTGAAGAAATTATTGGTCCATTGTTTAAATTACTAAGGACAGCAAGGTATTTGTAAATTATCTTACAATAAACAACTTACAATAAGAAGAAAAAAGGGATCCGAGTAATTCTTATCATTTGGTAAGTTTTGCAAACACTAGACTAGGTGATCCGTGAACTACCTGTCCTTCCAGCTCTGATTCTATAGTATCTGGATATTTCATAAGGATGTCCTAAAAACATGCACAACTATAATGGTTAGCATGTGTTATTAGACAAAATTAATAAACATATTAACAAATATGCCCATCTCCCAATCCCCAATACCATTCATACCTTTTAAACACCCATGAAAACATTCTCCTAGATACTAGGCAAGTGTAATACTTTATTTGGTGGTGAAAACAAAAGTTCTTAATATTAAACTCTCAGGACATTAATATGGAAGGACTTGTGTTATAGAAAGAGAGAATTGTACACCTAATATTTTAAGTGAAAACTATACACTGCATTCTTTCCTTGAAGAACAACATTATCTGGTGATTCTACCTGTTCCTAGCTAAGAAATAGCTAGAAAAACAGTCTGGCGAAGTCCCTAGCAGCTATAAAACTGCTCTGTAATACTGGAATGCAACTGTTTCAAAGCTAAAAGCAAAAAACAAAAGAACAATAACTGGTTACTAATGCTTCAAATTCAACAGTGTAGACAACTAGGTGGCTAAGAGTCCCCAATGTGTTAGAAAGGTTTTATCAGGTAAATCAAAGCCTGCAGAATGCTTTCTGCACACAAAGGTAGCAACCTTTAATTTAGCCCTTCCTTCCACTACACCATAGACCACTCCTCTAAAATTCTCATAATCTTCTAATGGACTTTACTTGTATTCTTTTATTTAAATTTATAAGTAACAAAACTAACAAAAAGAAAAAGAGAGAAAGCCCGATTGCATGGAGTGCAGAGGGGCAGAGCTGCAAAGGATGCTCGTGAGTGACCAATTATGATATAGGTGGCTACAAAAAAATGTAAATAAAGTCAAGATTAAAACACAAAACTGAGTTTGAATCACCCTTGCCACACAAACAGATAAAGAACTAAGAGTAAAACATTACTACATACTTTAGCTATTAGAAAAACAGTGCAGAGTAGCCCCCTAAAGCAGTACGCACTGGTACACCAGGTTAGTATAAACCATGTTCCAAATGAATCTTGATGCTTGAGGTGGAAATACTCATTAGTTACATGTAGGAGCACACAGGCCAAAAAGTGATTTGCTTTAATGGCAAAAGTGGGAGCACCAACTATTATGTACAGCATCACAGAAGCATTGAGTTTAAAGTCAGATATATACTTAAATACATTTCTGGGTCTGAAGCCCAACAAGCTCTGAGGCAATGTTTTGACCAAACCTTACACTCAATTAAAATAGAAATGTAAGATCAGGATCCAGGGGGCCAGCATAATAGTGTGGTTAAGGGCACAAGGTTGGCTGTCACACAGACCTGAGCTAAAATCCCAAATCAACAAATTACTGTGTGACCTTGAACCAGTCATTTAAATTAAACCTCGACTTTCTCATTTGTAAAATGGAGATAATGATTCACACTGTTGTTACAAAATTTAAACAAGGTGATTCATGTAAAGCATTCAGCCTCATACCTGGCACAGAGGAAATAAGCAATAATAATAAGCTAGCTGTAAAATTAGCATGATTAACTGCCTTTCAACCTCAAGGAAAGCTGAGTTTCCTGGCAGCCAGACAAGTTCTAATCATTATAAAAAAAGACATTCACATATACTCATATAAAGATAGTTTTTCATTTCTTTCACATTACAGGAACTTCCCCCCCTCCTTAGTAAAGAATACTTCAGACTAATAATGTACAACTATATACAGGAAAGGCTTCAATGCAGACATTCTTCATTAGGAAGGACAATTTTCATGATCTAACCAGTTTCGGGGAGTTAATAGTTGGTACTGTTAGGAGAAAGAGAGAAAGAGAAGCATAAAAAGTCTTCAACCCACACACCACCGTTCAATAGAGAAAAAACAACAGTTGACTATTTGCATTGTTTCATAATTGAGTTAGAAAATGAAGAAGAAAGCAATCAGGTGAAATATTTTAACTCAAACACAGCTGTTAGTAAGGTTAGAGTGACCAAACTCACCAAAAAAGATCAAGAGTCTGGTTGGGGTTGCTCAGTAGTTGAGCATCAACACATGAACCGAGAGGTCAACGATTCAATTCCTGATTTGGACACATGCCCAGGTTGAGGGCAACCCACTAGGGGACATGCAAAAGACAAGAGGATGTTTCTCTCTCATAGATGTTTGTGCAAAAGGCAGGATGTTTCTCTCTCATAGATGTCTCTGTCTCTATCCTTCTCCCTTCCTCTCTCTCTAAAAATCAATAAAAACATATTTTTTTAAAAATATCAAAAAAAGGTGAAAAATCAGTTATTCCCGGAGTTTAAGTAACACCTGCGCACTCTACCCTTTTAAGATCATGGCTCAAATTTCCCAACTGCAACTTTTTCCATTCTTCCAAATATGCCACTAGCTTGAATGTACCTTTAATTTGTACTATCTCCTTAACTAAGAACATTACTCTGGTTAAGGACAAAAATAAAATCTTGTGCATTATTATTTTTCTAGAATTCAAGAGAAAATATTACTACTTCACTTACTTATGGAATATATTTTAAAAATACTGAGAGGTCATGGGGGGGGGCGGTGAGAGGAGTTCCTCATGAAAATAAATCAGTCATAGGAAAACTGTTCAAGGACAACCAAAACCAAATTTCAAAAAAAAATGCAATTTTTAAATTTTGAGTTAGGAGCAGGCTTTAATGGGTTGTGAGGTACAGAACTAAATTCTCAAAGAAAAAAGATACATAAGTGAATTAAAGGCTTCTGCAGGGAGTACACACTGCTACCAACCCATCAGATGTGCAAAAATTCTTAATTTAAAAAAATAGAGAGTAAATTCTCTGTATCAATATTGGGAAATTTAACAACAGAAAGAAAATAAAGTATTTCATAGGCATTTTCAAGCATTTAAAGATATCTTCCTGTATTACAGATATTACTACAAAATGAAAGAAGAGACTGGTTAGATGGTCTAATTAACAACTCGGCAGTGAAAGAATAATGACATGGCCAAAAGACGCTCTGTCACCTAGAGATAATGGACAGTTTCTGTTTACTGTTTAAGAACCCAGAAGAATCTCCTCCTGCTTTTAAATGCAAATTACCAATCTCAGAAGCACATTCTGCTCTATTCCTTTATCTGAAAATTACTGCAATGTGATCCTGTTCCAGAGAGGACCCCATTCAGGCAGGAAAATGGAATTAGGACAACCACACACTCAATAAGTGTGTTGAGATCATGGTCACATACAATGAGCTGTCACCCTCACACGTGGTCTTTTTCAGTGGAGAGACCACTATCTGTGATCAAAATTCTATTTGAAGAAGGAAAACTTAGTTTTGAGGACTATCAGGTTTTTAAAGTTTATATAGACATTTTAATATGTGTATATACACTAACATCACAGCAATTTAAAAACTGGACATCCCTTGGTTTTCAAATAACGACACAAGCTATTTAATGGAAACTTTTTTAAAGGCAGAATTTCAGTAATATTGGTATGGTTTGCTATTTAGTTGTACATTATATGGTAAAACAAACAAACAAAAAAATACCACAATGCAAGAAAGGTGAGCACCTCAGACTCTGCACTTCTCTTCCCTGTTAAAATTCCCGAGAACAGTGGATGCTGACTTGGAGACATACTGCAATTTAATGTACCAGGTGGTCAAGGTTAAAAAGAACACGTTTACACCAGAAAAACTCAAGGAATAAACAAACCATAATAAAGGGATTCATCCCATTGTTAAAGGTTATAGTTTTCTGCCAAAACCACACTTGATTTGCGAAATTTTATTCGATGTCAGGTAAATATAAACAAAGAGTAAAGAATGCTAGACAAGTTATAGCCTCATAAAAGGTTAACTTACCTCTAGTCTTTCCAAGTTATATATTAATAAAGAACTTTAGTGTTTTGCAAAACCTCTTTTCTAGCTATGGCAAGTAACATCCAAATGAGTGAATTTTTTGTTTTATTTTTTTTTTTGGTGATACTGGTTTATCCCACCCCCTAGCACCCAAGGCAGACCTCAATTTTCCTTCCCCCACAGGTCACCCGGCAACCAGGCACAGAAGCTATTGAAAATGCACTTCCAATCTCTGAAACGTCAGTGAATGTTTAAGGAGGAGGAAAAGGATTGTATTGAGTTTAGAAAAGCTATTTAAATGTTTTGCCGAATGCCTGCGATTAGTACATGCCAACCTAATGGCATAGCATGACATTAGCCGCCCCCTCCTTTCGTCCACCCACCCAGAACCATAGCAATGAATGCAGCAGAGCACTGAAGACCAAAGAGCCTGAAGAGTATCATGCACAGAAAATAGGAAGCCTGCGTTTTTTATACGGGAAAAGGCAAGTGATGGCAGTCTTGTGCTTTTAAAGAACCTAGAAGCGCTTACTAGTTCAACCCATCCCCCAATCCATGCCACCCTTTCAACTTTGTAATTAAAAGAGAGGAGAAATTCCGGTCAACTCGCCTTGGGGGTTGGTCTGAGGGTTGAGGACTCAAGCAGGGAGGAGGATGGAGAGAGAGAAAGAGCAAGCCAATGAAAGATACCAAAATTTCCCACCTTTCTTAAATTCTTCCAGCATAGCGTCCAACTTGGTGTCATTGAAAACAAAGTGCAAGGGGTGGTTATAAAATTTAGTGATGGTTTTCAGGGGAGTACAGTCATCTGGATCCACGAAGGCCAAGTCTTTAACAAAGAGGAGGTCCACAATGTTGGAGCGCTCTCCCTCGAACACGGGGATGCGCGTGTAGCCGCTCTCCATGATCTCCGACATGGTGTTGAAGTCCAGAATGGCTTCCCCGGTGATCATGAAGCAGTCCCGGAGGGGAGTCATCACGTCCTCCACCGTCTTGGTGCGCAGCTCCAGCGCCCCTTGGATGATGTTCAGCTCCTCCTTCACGAGGTCGTTGTAGGGGTCTGTGACCCGCAGCATCTCCAGCAGCTTTTCCCGGTTGTAGACGGTGCCTATCTCCTGGCCCAGGACGCAGTCCAGCAACTTGCTGACTGGGTAAGAAGCGGGGAAGGTCATCATCATGAAAAACTTGGTGAGGAAGATGGTGTTGGCTCCCACGGCCAGGCCGTGCCGGGAGCAGATGGCCTGGGGCACGATCTCCCCGAAGATGACGATCCCGATGGTGGAGACCACCACGGCCACCAGGCCCGAGCCGGCGATGTCGTCGAGCAGGATGGTGAGCGTGGTGTTGACCAGCACGTTGCCCAGCAGCAGCGAGCACAGCAGGTAGTTGCCCTGCCGGCGCACGGGCTCGATGCGCTTGGCGTAATTCTTCTCCTTCTCGGTGCCGCAGTTCTGCACGATGCGCAGCTCCATCGGGTCCAGGGCCATGAGCCCCAGGTTGAGGCCGCTAAACATGCCCGACAGGCACAGGAGCAACGAAATAAAGATCACCTGCAGCCAGAAGGGCAGCAGGAACTTCTTCTCCTCGCCCACGATCATTTTGGTGTCCTCGCCGTCGTGGTAAATCCAGGTGGTCTCAGCCCACGGGGGCGGCGGAAGCCCGGCCACCCCGGAGCCGCCCTTGCCCCCGACG